GGGGTCAGGGTCCAAAAACACAAGGGATTTCATACATTTCTGAAATTCGGTGCCGCCCCTCGCGCAGACCCGCGGGGTCAGGGTCCAAAAACATAACGGATTTCCTACATTTCTGAAATTCGGTGCCACCCTCACGCAGATCCGCGGGGTCAGGGTCAAAAAACACATGGGATTTGCCACATTTCTGAAATTCGGTGCCACCCCTTACGCAGATCCGCGGGGTCAGGGTCCAAAAACACAAGGGATTTGCCACATTTGTGAAATTCGGTGCCACCCTTCACGCGCAACCATCGCAAGGCGTGGCAACCCAAACTGCGAGAACCCCCTCGGCCCTTTAATCGCAAGGTGTGGTAACCAAGCCCGTAAACCATACACGTCTCACCAATCGCCAGGTGTGGTAACCCCTCTTGTGATCAGTTGGTTTTGCTGATTGCGAATCGGCTTCGCATGAAGTTTCGATGCTGCTTCACGACAGCGCCAAGGCCTCATGACTTAGCTCTTCCATGGCCCATTCTCCGAGAGAGGGGGCCGGCGGCAGGGGGCGAAGCCCTCGCGGATAAAACTGTTTGGCACACTTAGTGCAGCCCCCATCACGGACGCGATAAACATGCTCCACTTAATAACCTTCGCCGCCCTGGACGACCAAAACGTAGAACACTGCCTCTATGTTATCCTAGCTACCTGAATTCTCTGGATCTCGCTTCCGATGCCCTGGTCTCTCGGGGCGCATGGTGCAAAGACCCGCATCTCGCGTGAGGCTTCTCCTCTCAGCCCACTCTCTTGCAAACCCAATGTTCTCGTGACGTGGCACGAACGAGTGCCTCGAAGCACGAGTAAGTTGTTCGTCTTGTGCAGATTTAGCAGCCAATTCCCTGCCTGCAGTGCAGATTCAAGTCGCCGAGAAGCCTGGTTCACCTGTCCTGCGATTTCCTTCTGGCAGGGCACCTATGGGCAGCATGGTGATCTTTGTTATGTCATCCATGAGAGCGCCAATGGAAAGGCCTACCACCCCCGTGTTAATCGGATGCAATGCGTCGTTACTGCACTGGCCCTCCTGCCCCCTCTCACCGTCTAGCCACTCCGAGACCACTGGGTTATACACGTCGTCAACCTCCCGCGGCGCGAACGCGAAGCCCATGTGGGCCCCCTGCTGGCTCACCATGTCTATCCTCAAGTCTGGCGCCTGCAAAGACAACGCTGCGTGCTCTACTGCGCCAAGTGCAAGAGGAACGTCGTGATCTGCTAGGGTCTGCCACGCGCGCTCTCTGTGCAATTCTCTGCCCGTTGATGCAAGCGCGTCGCTGCAATCGAAATTGCCCATGGTCGTGGAGCGGCCTGCCTTCTCGCAGCGCCATGTTGCAGCTAACGGCACCAGTATGTCGCTGCCCCTTGAGCGATGCGCCAGTCCACCGCGTGCAAAGCATGGTCTTTCTTGCATTGAAGTCGGGGGTGGACAGACCCCCCTTTAACAAAACGTGGTTTCGTGAAAACGACTTCGGGCCCAAACCTGGCGGGCGCAAGCCTGGAAAAGAATGGCCACGGCGCACTCTCGACAACCGAAAACGGACAATTCACTAATCGACGTGTCACTGTTGGGGGGTCTGCCCACCCCCGATGAAGCTCGCCCATGTGCGCCGCTGCGCCACGGCGTGCCCACGCCGCAATAAGCGCGCATAATGCGCGCCCCCGCTATCCCCTGCTTATTGTTCTCTTTCTCGCGCGCCCAACGTGTCCAACGGCGCTGCTGGGCACTGCCTGAAGTGCATCAGGAGCTTCCTGAATATCTTCGGGCTCTCAAACTCCCGCTCGCTGAACTTCGGGGCCCCAGCTCCTGCCTTCTCAAGGTGCTCAAAGGCCCCATGAGAAGCTTCGGTGGGCCCCTGAAGGGGGGCCCCCCGCCCTTCGCTGCCCCCGAACGTCGCGCCCTGGGCCCACCCGAGATTCATCAAGAATTGTCGCCCCCTCTGCATCAGGAAGTGCGTCGCGTGACGCTCAGTCTCCTCCTCGCCCCCCTCTCCATCTCTGCCTCGCGCACGCTGCGCTCCTCTCTCCATCTCGAGCTTCGGTCAGACCGCTGTCGGTCTGCACCTGGTTCTGACAATGGCGTCCCCATTTGAACTGGTAGCCCCCATTCAGGGAACGCCCTGCGCTTAAAAGCACGTCTGCAGTGCCTGCGCATTGCGCGTTCGTCCTGCTGCACATGCTCCGTCAGCTTTGCACTCATGGGGGGGGGGGGGGGGGGGCGTGAAATCGCCCTCGCCAGCTTCGAAGTCGGCCGTGTAATCTCACACCTCGAACCCCCAATCTAAATGATTGCCACCCAATCCGCCCTTGCGCGGGTGCTTGGCCAATTCTTCTCGCCATTGTTCGCCCGACCAGTGGCATCTGCATGCGTTGTAAAATCCGTCGTCCGTCCACGGCCGTTTCGCTGATTGGCAATTCTAAGGCGGCGCGTGTCCGCGAAGCGATATTCTGCGAGCAGGCTAGCCATATATGTTGTTACACTATGTCGCCCCCGTCTGCACCCCGATATGCTTCCCTTAGCTTGTTAAGCGCGCTACTCACCTGCTTGAGCTCTTCCTCGGCCAGTTTACCTTTGAGTTCGCCAGTCGCATCTACCAGTTCTTTCCCCCGCCTGCTGCTCTCCTCCAGCAATTACATCCTCTTGCGTTTTATCTCTAAGTATGCTGAAACCCCCTGCATGCGTTGTTCCCCGAACGCGTTCTGCATGCCCGCGCGCACGCACTTTACTTTTGTCCATGCGTACTCTGGGGAACGTGCTTGGAAGAACCGACCCCATTCATCTTCAGTTGTTTTGTGAATATCAGCGTCGATGTTCGGGAAAAGCTCCTCACCCCTGCACCCAGTCCGCAAGCACCTCATCAACTCCTCTCTGTCGACCGTTTTTTTTCATTGGTCAGCCGTGTTTCAGAATGCCAGTGTCAATGTCCAGACCTACTGGTCGGCGATCTCTGTACTTACGATCAGGGATTGTTTGCAGTCTCTTTCCAAAACGGTGGAGGCAGCAACACTGTTTGACGAGTGGTATAGCGGCCACTGGGACTGCTATGTGGTCGACTCTTGACTGGCATCTTTTTGCTCCGTAGAACGTGCTGCCTATGTCGAAGAAGGTCGCCGCTACTCCTAGCCCACTGTCGGTGCAAAACTTTCTACACGCTGGGCCGTTTGTGTTCTCACACTGCGGTCGTGCACCACCTAGATATACCGTGCGCGTGCGCTGCATGCTCCCGCCCTCCTCCCTGTGCACCCCCAAGTCACTGACCATGCTGCGGGCCACGAGGAGTGAGCATCAGAGCGAGCGAAGGTTGATGCTGGAGAAGGAAAGGGATTGTGAGTAGAAGCAGGCCTCTAACTGGCCAGCACGAACGAGTCAGCGGGCACCGCCCACTCCCACCCTCGCTACCGTCGTTGACACAGAAGAAAGCATGGAACAAGTGGGTGCTGGTGGGACTGGACAAGCTGGAGCAGCAACTCCTGGCACATCCCTGCACGGCGCTCCGGTGAAAACGCACCATTCGGCCCTCAAGCGCGCGGCCACGCTGCCGACTGGAGTGGTGGACTACGGCGCACGCGCCGCGCCGAGGCGGGAACACCACTCTCGAGGGAGAGCCTGCGAGGCGGCTCGGGCCAGACAGTGGCACTTGCCCCCCCCCAGCGCGCAGCCCCTCTTGCGCTTCCGTTTGCCCCGCGCACGGACCATCGGCGCCGCGCCCCTGCAGGCGGCGCCCACGTCGGGCGAGACCTGCCGCGGCGCGAGGGGGAAGAGCCGACACGTCGCCTGCTCGCGCGACCGAGCGAGCAGGCGACGTGTCCCCGCCTCCAACGACCGAGCGAGCAGGCGACCGGTCGTTGGAGGGCCCCCGCCTCCAACGACAGGGCGAGCGGAAAGAAAAAAATCACGCAGCGCGCCCAGGGGGCCGCTGCTTCAGGGCGAAGCCTGCGCGGCGCGTGGGCGAGAACACGATTCCGCTCTCTCGGGCGGGGTCCCGATTCGGACGCCTGGCGAACAAACGCCGCGCTCGAGCGGGGTCTCAAACTTCAGGACAAAGAGCGCGGTGCTGTGGTGAGGGCAGCGCTTCGGCCTTCCGCACGAGGCGTGTGCAGCGTCGACCGTTCTAGGGACAGTCGGCCAGCCAGCTGGCAGAGTGGGGACATGTACTGAAATGTGATAACTATATCGGGTAGGGAAGGATACCAAGAAGGAATATACGTAAGGATGACACGAAAGGGAGAGAATAATACCATCCTCCTCCTCCTCCTCATCATCATCATCATCATCATCAGCATCAGCATCAGCATCAGCATCATCCTCATCCTCATCCTCATCCTCATCCTCATCCTCATCCTCATCCTCATCCTCATCCTCATCCTCATCCTCATCCTCATCCTCATCCTCATCCTCATCCTCATCCTCATCCTCATCCTCATCCTCATCCTCATCCTCATCCTCATCATCATCATCATCCTCATCCTCATCCTCATCATCATCAGCATCAGCATCAGCATCAGCATCATCATCATGAACAGCTCCAGCATCAGCAGCAGCATCAGCGACATCAGCCTCATCAGCATCAGCATCATCAGCATCAACATCATCGAAACGAAGGAAGATGCACGATTGGGGAACAAAGAGGTACCGACACCGCTACTTCCCAGACCTCTCCCGGGGCGCGTTCTGGCCAGGATTTCGAGGCGAATCCGGCGGTGGCGACGAGGGCCTCCCAGGAGACCCAATCAGAGGCAAAGGTAGCGCTACCCGTCGGTCGGAGGAAGTGCATAGAAACATGAAGTAGGAAGGCGTTGAAAATAGGCTGGGTTCCCGCCCGCCCCCTGAAGAGGACAGAGAAGGTGAAGCCACTCCGTTCTTGAAGCAGGAGGGTGCCTCAAGAATATTGAAATCTGAGAGTCCAGGTATACCTCCTTCCAGCGAGACCGAGAGGCACAGCACGGAGAGGGCGGCCGACGGAGGCAAGGCCCGCCTTGGCCACGGCTGTGACGGCCTCGTGCTGACCGACGACGCGCCTGTGGAGGGTCTCCTGCGGGGCCGCGGGCGCGGATGCGGATGCGAGGAGGAGGAGGAGGGCAAGCCGATGCCACCGCGCACGCCGCCGTGGGTCGGTGGTGTTACTGCATTCTCGCGCGACGATGCCATCATGTTGCATGGCGTGCATGCTGACGCTACGGGCGCCCTGGGCCCGAAAGCGTGCCGTGGGCCGAGGGCGCGGGTGCGGGAGCGTGGAGGAGGGGGGGGGATTACAGCTGGACCCAGGACAGCAGAGCACCCTTCAAGAATATGAGAGCCTCCGCCGGCCAAGCTGAAGAGCTTGCGAGGGCGCCCTCCCCCGGGATGCACAAGAACATCCAACAAACACGAAGAACAGTAGGGTACCCTCGAGCCGACCTCGATCTTATACCTCGGTCCGACCGTGCCCGTCGGTCGGAAGAAGGAGGCAGAAACATGCAGGAAAGCGTTGAAAGTAGATTGAGTCTCCGCACGCCCCCCCTGAGAGTCAGCAAGAGGGGAGACCACTCGATGATTAAACTGCCTGAAATAGACTGGAATCTGGGAATCTAGAAATAGCTGCTCTCAACGACTGGCAGGCAGATAAGGCAACGGCCTCCACTGACGTGCGCCGAGCAACCCCATTCCCCTGCCGCGGGGGCCCAATCAAAACAAGGACTCGTGCGCGATGTGTTGTCAAAAGTGGCTTCTGAAAAATCGTGAATCGAGAAGGACCGAAAATCGAGAAGGATCGAAAATCGAGGATCGAGAAGGATCGAGGAGCGGGAGAAATCGAAAATCGAGGAAGAGGAGGAGGATCGAAAATCGAGAAGGATCGGACATCGAGGAGAAGCCGAGGAACGGATCGAGAAGGATCGAACATCGAGCGCGCCAGGCGTGGGTTCGAACGACTGGGCCTATTGGAGGCCTTCCAGCTGCGGGCTCGGGGGACGGGGGGGCGCGTGGAGGAGAGCGCGGAGGAAGGGATCGATAAAGGGGCCCTGGGACACGCAAATAAATAGACACACATGCAAGGATCCCCCTTCTTTTCGCATAGTTCCTGGCTTTGTGTCTCCCCCCCACTTCCCATATTTTTCCTGGGGATCGACGATTACTTGTGCCTGTGTGTATTTTCTTCTCCTGCATCGAGGAGCATCGAAGGATCGAGGCCTCGGTGCGCTTCTGGCCCGCTGCGCTTCCGGCCAGATCCCCGTGGGATCCTCCGGCGGCCTCTCCTGGAAGAGAGAGAGGCGGTGGGCACGCGGGTGAGCGGGAGGTGGAGGGTGGGCTTAGTTTGAAGGAGCCCCGGGACACACAAGTAAATAGACAGTGATAACAACATTGACAATAGTTTCCCATTTATTCTGGGTTTCTGGCTTCCCCCTCACTTCCCATATTTTCCCATGTCTTCTGGGGAGTCGACGATTTACTGTGTCTGTGTATTAATTTCCCTGATAGTTGTCCTTAAAAACGCTGGAGGCTATTTTTCCCCCGTTTTCAATTTTTGGTATTGCGGTCGACCACAACAGAACAGAAACGGCAACCCAAGACATGAACAAAAGAAGACACCTACCGGGGCCAGAACAGAAACACCCCGGGGAGGGGGGGAGAGAAGCGTGGAGAGCGCGGAGGAGGGGAGCAGCGGGGGTGGCAGGAAGCGACGGGGACGGGAGGGGATGTCGAGAGGGCGCGGGAGGCGGGCCCCCTTCGAGCAGGAGCAGGCCTCTTGATCCGTGTTCCCGCCCGCCCCCCCTCTGCCTCGGCTCGACTCTTGTCCTCCTCCGCCCACCAGCTGCCCCTCCCATGCTGCCTCCGCCTCCGCCCTTCGTCTCCCCGTACGCCTGTCCCTCCCCCCGCCACCTTCTGCTGTTGCACCTCCGCCTTGATCCTTCTCCTCATCCCTCCCTCCCTCCCTCCCTCCCTCCCTCCCTCATCCCGCCCCCAACTCGTCCTTCCACTCCCACTCCTCCTCCTCCTCCTCCTCCTCCTCCTCCTCCTCCTCCTCCTCCTCCTCCTCCTCCTCCTCACCTCCCTCCTCCTCCTCCTCCTCCTCCTCCTCCTCCTCCTCCTCCTCCTCCTCCTCCTCCTCCTCCTCCTCCTCCTCCTCCTCCTCCACATCATCCCTATCCTTCTCCTCTCCCGCCTCATGTCTCATCTTTCTCAGCCCGCCACGATCACCGAAAAAGTGGCCAGTCGGCATGAAGATGGACGGACCATGCTCGAATGATGGAACTTGCATTGCATGACTTTCTCTCCCGTCTCCAGTGCAGAACCGGCCCTCTTGCCGTGCGGGGTCTGTCGGTCTGGCCTGCCCTTCCGTCGAATCCCAAATGGGCGCCCTGCCTCTTCCTTCGAAGCCCTGTCGTGTCATCCCAGCGAAAACCCGCTGTGTACATCCGCCCTTTCCTCCCCCCGCACGCCTCGCACTGGGGCGCCGACGAGAAGAGATGGGAGCAGGACGGGGCAGGAGGAGGGGCAGTGACGGAGCATGACGGGATGATGGAGGAAGAAGAGAAGGAGAAGGAGGAGGAGGAGGAGGAGGAAGAGGAGGAGGAGGACGAGGTGGCGGGGAAGAGCGGGACAGGGCTGGGAAGGCCGAGGACGGAGCAGAGGATGGCCACGGACGAGGGCACGCGAGGACGCCCAGGATGATCAAGGAGATCGGAGAGCGAAAGGTGAGGCGGAGGGTGGGAACGACAGGGGGTGACGTGCTCGACTAAGACGAAGCCAGGGCGAGGATGAAATCGGGTGAGGATAAATCAAGAGTCTCTGAGATCCAGCAGCTTCAGGGGAAAATTCAGGCGCTGCGGTCTTCTGAGCGTTCCAGAACGCTCTGAGAGCGTTCCCGAAAACTCTGGAACGGATTTATCCTCGTCCTGGCCCCGTCCTAGGTGAGGCGGAGGTTGGGAACGACAGGAGGGGCGTGCTCGACCAAGAGCATGGGGCCCCTTTGCCACCCGGCGGCATCTGGCGGTCTCTGGGGCGAAAGCTGGACGGGCTGCGCTTCACGGGGAAATCATGACCTAACAAGAAAATTAAGAGGTACCGATACCGCTACTCCCAGGGCCTCTCCCGGGGTGCGTTCTCACCAGGACTTCCAGGCGAGTCCGGCGGTGGCGACGAGGGCCTCCCAGGAGGCCCAACAAAGCGAAAACGAGGCCAGCGCAGCGGTGTCGGTGCCTCTTCCTCCTCTGATGGACGGGTCGCGTTTACTGGGGAGTCCATGACCGAACAGGTCTTCGAGACTTGCAAATGGGCACGAACATAAATACAGCGCATCCTAGATTCTGGTGCTGGTGGTAGTCTCTCGATCACCTAGGAATCCCAGGTGGGACCACCATCACCGACATCGAAATCATCCATCCTCTTTCGGTGGACGCACACCGCCGATATGAGAGGCCTCCTTAATGGGGAAAAGATGGGGTCGGAGGAGCGCGCCGCATCGCCAATGCATCGGTGATGCATCGGCGACGTCGACGGTGCATCGGCAACGTCGGCGTGGAGGAAATAGGGCACCGCATCGAGCCGCATCGGCGATACATCGGCGATGCGGCGCGATCCTCCAACCCCATCTACTCGCACCCCACTTAGGATGCCTAGGGATATGGGTGTTGGTGTCAACCTTGGGGAAACCAAAAGGTACCGATACCGCTACTCCCCGGACCTCACCTCTCCCGGGGTGCGTTCCGACCAAAAGTTCGAGGCGAATCCAACGGTGGCGACGAGGGCCTCCCAGAAGCCCCAAAAAGGGGAAAACGGGCGAAGGGTGGAGGCATGGGGTACCCTTTCCTCCTCTAAGACCTCCAGGCCTCCCAAGGTCGGACCACTGGCAGGACCCGCCGCCCTTTTCCGCCGGCGCGCGCACGCAGGCCGCCTGCCAGTCGGGGCAGGGCGCGCGCGCGCGGCCGGCAGGCCGCCGCGCCGTGGCCTCCTGCGGCGCGAGCGCCAGCAGCACCGCGGCGCCTGTGGGGCGCCCGCCTGCCTCCTCTTACGTGCAGTCGGCCTCCGGCGAAGGGTCACTCTTACGTGCAGTCGACCTCCGGGCTGCTCCTCCCTCGGCTGCACGCAAATGACCCTGGGCAAGAGGTGACCTTCGTAGAGGCCTCCCAGGTGGGGTCCGAGTGGATGGGGGGCGGAGGACCGCGCCGCATTGCCGATACATCGGCGATACATTGACGAGGCATCGGCGATGCATGGTCGACGTCGACGATGCATCGGCATCGTCGGCGTGAAGAAAATCAGGCTCCACATCGAGCCGCGTCGCCGATGCATTGGAAATGCGGCGCGATCCTCCGACCCCATCATCTACTCGGACCCCATCTGGGAGCCCTATAGACTTTGATGCGCGGCCTTTTTGGGGCCGCGGGGGGACCAACCACAAGCCTGCAAGACGCTACTGCCGCATCGCATTCGGCGATCGGGGGGGCCCAGTGGGCACGCACCAAAGGTCACTCCGGCGAAGGGTCACTCTTGCGTGTAGTCGACGCCCGCCTCTGCCCCGCCTCTGAGCTCTCCCAGCGGCCTGTGTCCGTTCGAGCCGAGCATCGAGCCAAGTTTTTCGGCATCCCGCTGCTACTACGAGAACGGCGTCCGTGCACCGAATACCATCTTGGGGCTCCCTCCAGACCCCGCCAAAACGCAGTACGGTGCACAGTGCTTCGGCTCTGAGGAGCAACAAAAACAATGCATATATAAAGTCCTGGGTCGCGGATCTCAGTGCCGCTTTGACGGGGACTCCACTGACAGGCACTTTGGCCAGTGACCGGGCGAATCCGCCCCGCGGTTCCCCCAGTGACGTTCCCTTAGCTTAGCGTTGCTTATCTCATCTTAGCTTAGCCTAGCTAAACTTAGCTTAGCTTAGCGTAGCTTAGCCTAACCTAGCCTAGCCTAGCTTAGTTTAGCTTAGCTTAGCGTAGCTTAGCGTAGCCTAGCTTAGCTGAGCTCAGCTCAGCTCAGCTGAGCGCATCATTCGCATAGCATGGCATAGCATATCATAGCATAGCGCAGCATTCGCATAGCGCAGCATAACATAGCATAGCATATC